ATATTATATTATATTGATGTGGATGCAATATTTTATTGTGCAGTATGACCATTCAGACTCAGAAATACCGGGATGGTGTCTGCTGAGTACAGTATGATACAACTTTCAAAATGCTATAAGCCATACAGTATTTCTTATTTCTTAAAAATTATTGTAATTACTTCATTGGGCCTACTGGTTTCTTTGGAGTTTGTATCATGCTAGTGTAGGCTCTTGATAATTTACCAGTACTGTAGTACTAAACTAGTAGTTTTTGTTTTTTGTTTTTTTATCTTTGCCCAACTCAAAAAATTACCTCTTTAATATATACATTAAAAAAAATGTATGGCCTCTCAAATCAATTAAATAACACCTGCAAATGTCTAGAATGCCGAGCCACGCCTTTTTCCCATGGACCCCACCGGGGGCCCGTGGCGACACCCTGCCCCCCCCCCCCCCTCCCCCAGCCAATGGTGCTCGCTTCCACCCTGCCCCCCCCCCTCCCCCAGCCAATGGTGCTCGCTTCGCCCGCAAGTGCCCTTTTAGTATCAAAAAGAACCCCCCTATAAAAATCTTGGCTTCGGGCTTGTGACGATGAAAACAACGATTATAGAACTGATGATTGTGGGGTAATGTTGGTGTTTATGGTGGACGAGGATAATGGTGTTGATAAACATAATGATGATGATTATATAAATGATGATGATGATTATATAAACTGATGACGATGACTAAAAAAACTGATGATTGTGATTGGCCTACTGATGATGATACTGATGAATGTGGCGAAATTTACAAGTTGACGCTCTTTAAAATCACTGCAAGTGATGTGTCGACGGATGAGAAAACGACATTTAGGCCTAATTGATTAAATTGTGTCCCAAGATTGGCGCGCAAGTATCCTGTGTTTATCAAAGGTAATCACAATTAGGCCTACGTACATAGCAAAAGATAAAAAGCTTTTAAAGTGCTTTCTATCAAATTACCGACCATTCATATTGAAACAATCGATCCGAATAATTGCGTGTTTAGGTTCCCTGTATTGTCTTGGATTTCGTCTGCTAGTAGAAAATACATGCTATACAAGATGTGTGATAACAGCAAAACTTAATTTCGAAGAAACACCTCGACCTAGATTTCACAATTGCAGAGATGACGGGATAAGGCCTACGGATCACTATTTGGCATCGTCTAAATGCGAAAACGGGAGTGTTTGGCACAGTGGCGTAACAGCTGAGCCTTTCGCTGGCTAAAACCAGGGGATCCTGGCCTTAAAGGGCCCGGGATATTTATCAGCATTTTTTGCCCCATAGGCCTATATATAGGCTTTCGCTCCGAGAGTAGTAGGGCCCAATGAAGTCTTAGGCAGGGGCCTCGGACATCTTTGTTACGCGACTAGTGGTTGGCACCGTATCACGGCTACAAGCGACAACGAGATTACGAATCCGTGTTTCGCATTGTATACCTACAGCCACCAGGTGGTGTAACGTATGTACATACACTAGCCTACTACAATTGGTGCGTTTCTGTATTTCGGCTCAAATAGTAGTAGTTAACTCACATCATTCTTCTGTCCTAAATTCAGATTCCTCCCATCTCAAAAGTAACAGTGCGCATTTATACGATGCTACATATTACTTTATACTATTAACTATATTTTATTAGTTTCGCATTACTGTCATAAAGTCCATGTAGACCTATACCACACTGAATTGAAATAAAAAAAACAAAATAAATATAAATTTGAAATAATTTATTGTTTTTAGTAGAAAGAGTGTACAAGCAATACGTACACTGCTCTCAAAATTATTCGTAAAAAATCAATAATCCACATAAGTCCTATAAAAAGTTACTTTCTTTGGCACTTGCTGGTTGGCATATTACCAACACTATACTGAAAGCCTATTACAAGATAAACACGCATGTGTTTATCACTCAGAAACGTTAATATAAAGGAAGGACAATAAAATTTCGCCCTCTATAACTTATCAGATAATAGATCCGACCCCCGTCCCTTGGATATTGTTGCTAAGGTCCCACAAAACGACAGCCTAAATATACGTAAACACGTGCGTTTGAGCGACAACACGTGTTTGTAGGACAGCCGTGTATTAATGGCATTGTTCTGATTGGTCAGTTGTTAAGTTTGATTGACACGAGGGTACATCTTTGTCTGGTGGAGGGGGACAGAGGAAAAGGGGAAGGGTAAGGGAAAAAAGGGAAAGGAATTATGCATAATCAACTAATTATATACTAAATTCTGAAAATTTGGAATTGGATATTTAATTTGTTAACAAAGTAGTTTGTGTATCCCTTACCCTATAAGTGGGTTCATCAGTTTTTCATCATTTCATGTGTAAAAAACATACTCTAACTTACCACCCTCACCCATCCCAAAACAGTACATAGTTTTTGTTTAAATGAAAATATCAATTGATTGAATGAATGAATGAATGATTGGTTGATAGATTGATTAATTAGTTGGTTGTTAGTTAATTTGTTAATTAGTTGATTACTTAATTATGTAGCTAAGATATTTTATTTCGTTAAGTTAGATCCGGGAACACAAACACAGGCTCTGTCTCCTTGAATAATTAAAATGATGATGTCATTTTAAAATCACCTTTCCCCCATACACCTAACCCTCCCCTAGTGTATACACACACACACTAGAAAGTAACAAATGTAAAACATATTAAATTACATTTAGACTTGGGGAATACTCCTACTTACAATCAATCAAAATCAATCAATTAATCAAACATAATTAATCAATCAATCATACCGACCTCCCAACATATTTTAAACACTGATGTTTCATATGAAGTTAAAAATATTATAGATTGAGTAAACTTTAGCTTTTAGTCTTTGCATAATTTACTGATGATAAATTAAATATCATCGTGATTCTACGACCAGTGATTAGACTTATATTTATACATACTCTTTTTGCAACTAAAAAAAACAATTTCACTACTCTAATATGCTAATTAAATTTGTTTCAATTTGGTCATAAATTATTTTTTATATTATAGTTCTTACATATACACATTTATATCAATGTCTCATGTTCCTGATCATAAAATCGCTATTACCTAAGTATAAAAAAGTTCACCTAATATTTTCTATAATTTATTGCATTCCAAGTATTTGCTCAAAAGCAACACTACCCTAAGTTGTAAATTCTTTTATATTGTATTTATTTTCATTATATATAAATCAAAAGAAAATACTGTATGTGTAAATACACACACACACACACATATATATATATATATATATATAAATATATATATATTTTTTATTTTTTTATTTCAATACCCAAACCAACAGCAAATTAAATTCACCATTTACAGGAGGGTAAACAATAAAATCAACAAGAAGAATAAATAATCAAAGGTCTACACCAAATACTCAATACAAAATCAAAATTTTATGATAGAAATAAGATAAAAATAAGTGGTATGATTTGTTTTAGTTTTGTTTTGTTAACTGTATACGCACAGGAAACTTTACAGTAAATTGTATTCAATTACTATAGATCTTGAATAAAAGTTGTTATATATATGTATATGAACAAACAAAACTCAGGAACCAAGCAGTGGTTTAGACTACCAGGGATCTCTTTTAGTACACCTGGACCAGCCCAATGTTGAGTTTGCCCTAAGTCCATTTATATAATGGTCTTCTATTGCTGAATAAATTCTTAATTTATACAAATTTGTAACAAAATATTTTTATTATATTGATTAAATAAAAGTATTAATCAGGATAAAAGTACAGAAAAGGATGCACAGAACATTAACTAAAATATCATCATCAAAGCAAAACAAGCAAATGGAAAATATATCAAAAGTACTAGTTAAGCAATTGTTAAACTGGTATTTCAAAATATTGCTTCAGCCTCCTCAAAGACATCGAAAACTTGCTCACAAAGGGTCAACATACGGTTGACCTGCGGTCAGTGGACCCATGTTAGTGGACCTTGCTGGAGTGGCTGTTGATATTGATTGTCCCTCATTTTCAAATTTCTGAAAAAAAAAAAAAACATGTCTATGAAAGACATTGACTTTGGTGGAATAATCTGTTAGGGCCAGGCAAGCTCAAGAAAACCCCTTTCTTCCCCTATCTGAACTCTTGATTTAAATAATTAAAACAAATGTATTTTGTTTTTCATATCAATTGGAACTCAAAATGGAAAAGTTACTTAATTCTGAATTAGTAGCTCCCCCTTCATTCATGGCAACACATTTCTAAGCGTGATTACACCCGTGGTATTGGTTTGATGTCAATGGTTATAATAGGAAAATTGTTAAATTAAAAAAACATAATATCCTCAAATTTAGATAAGTGTTTATTATATCAACTAACAGAAAAATATCATTATAAACTATACCAACATTAAATATATCAAAATATAAAGATAGTGTTTTGAGAAATATGCATATTTGTCAAAATTGGACCCTGACCCTCTAAATAATGTTCAGCTACACCAAAATCTGGCATAACTTTTTTCCCCATTAGGACAAGATTTTTTTTATAGTAATGCCAAATAAATAGATAAATCACATAATATAAAACTTGGCATAAAGCCTAGTTTATTATAATGTGATGTATTAAAATATAAAATTGAAGAAAAAAATGTGTATGTGTTAAAAACTGAAGTAAAAGCCAACTACCAAAACTGCATTTTGGGAGCACTTATAAAGATATAGAGAATGAATGGTTTAAATATTGAATCTAGGGCATAGTTCTATAATCTAAAGAAATGATGTAATGACATGCTGAGACCCACAATTCAAGTGTGAAATCAGGAGTTAGATATCAGACATTGACGACTTGCACATTATCCAGGAAAAGCACTTAAACCCAAAGATGCAATGGACTCACGCTAAGACAATGAACTTGCAGCAAGAGAACGGACATGTGCTAAGCGAATCAAATTAATGACAGGAAGAATTCATGTACATATCAAGACCAAACAAGTGGAACAAACAACTCGCGTAACAAAAGAATGTAATTGAATAATGGCAATGCATTATGGAACAGGAGGCTAAATGAAGTATGTCATTGCAGACATTATTGAACATGCAATCAAGATGTTTAGTCACATACATAATTAATGTATATTATTATTCTAGGTTTGCATAATGTTGAAGAAAATGTTCCACTGGGATTTGAAACTTATTCAGATTATCTTCCAATTGAGCTGGTAGTTTGGTCTTGGGTTCAAATCCCAGTAAGGTTAAAGTTTTTCTCAAGTAAACATCTTTTATTCCTAATAGAGGGGTAACTCCATACCACATTATTATACCTTAATACTTCATACTGTATAGAACAAAAATGTAAAAAAAAAAAGAAAAAGCATAGCTCAAGAATATCTTACATGATTTCTGTAATTTTCTAGACTAGTTCTCATCTTGTGACCAAAGCTGGATATCAGAAGACTAAATTAAAAGACAGAGCAAGGTGACTATCAGCAGTGCTACACCAAACCTAACTCATTTAGATAATTACAAAACTATTCCAATAACAAATAAAAATAATAATAAAAATGTAAGGATGACAACAATAAAAATAATATTGTAATTATTAATAAAATATTATTATTATCAATCCTGATAATGATGATAATAATGATGATGATGATGATAATAATTAGGCTAAAAAAGGAACAACGTTTCTACTCCATCGTTTTTCCTTTTTAAGCACAATTTTTTTATGAATGATTTATTCTAAGCATGCTCTTATTGTAGTGATGACAACAATAACAATAATAATAATAATAATAATAATAATACTATATTTATTTATTCGAAAATAGTTTGAGAGTGGCTCTAACAGCAATGCTGACTTGAAGAGGCTCTCTTTCAAACAGTTCAAATACAGAGATACAATCCTCACTAAAATGAATAAATGAGAAATTTCAAAATATTCCATAATAAAAATCATTAAAATTGTAAGAATAAAAATATAATTCCTAAGTTGCAAGAACAATGAATAAAAATAATAATAATAATAATAATAATAAAAGTAATGATAATTATAATTATTCTTATCCGTTTATAGTAAAAGTAAGTTCTCCATCAAGCAATTGGCTACTGCATCGAGCCAGTGTATAATCTACCTGCCCCTGCTGGAGCAAACACTGAGGGCATAACCACCATGTGACCAAGTATCTTGTAGCATTAGCTATCTTGTGATTTTGTATGTCATAGCGGTTATGTGAATGCTATTAGCATTAAAAAAAATGATGATGATAAAAATGATGATACAGACTAAAATTATGATTCAATGCAAATGAGATACATAACAATGATGTACTGAAAATGACAGAGATGGTTATTAATTTACATTGTTTTGAAAATAACTATGCTGCCAACTAAAGCCCTGTTGAAGCTATCAAATTTTATTTGACAAAAACATGTGACATGCCTAAATATGGTCATGATGACATCACATCATGACCATATATAGTCACCATGACTATATATGGGCATACAACAGTTTTTGTTTTGTCAAAGAAATTGTATAACCGGCAGAGAGCTTTAAAAACATTTCTGCGGTTGAAAAATCACTGTACTGTACATAATACAGTAATACCATACTAAATATAATAATTATGTGAATCGTTACTTAAGCTTGTAAATATAATTAAGCAATTGCATAATTAAAAGCTACTATTTGTTGAATGTTTGAAGCTTGGCAGAATCGCCATACATTTCTTATAGTTCAGTGTTTTATTCTCAAAATAGAAAATACAGCCTCCTTACAAGAGACATGAAACAAAGTTGATTTGAGTTGCAGTTACCAATCATTACAACTACGAAGAGGGATATATTCACATTCCTGTGGAAAAACAATATTGTGCTACTAACAAAGTTCAAGAATACTGTAAGATAATAAGATTTAACATTCTTATGGTGTGATTCAACAGGCCTTGCATCCAATAATTATTAGACAAATTTTATACTGTAACTGCTACACCCTATACAAGCTACAGATACAGATATAGATCTTCTATTGTCATAAAAATACAAGTTAAGTTAAGCTTTTGTTGCCTATTAATGATGTTTGCAGAGTGAAGTTGTTTTTATTGTTAAACAAATCTCAGCATTTTTACCAGGATTAACTCAGGACAGAGAGATTAGAAGCAAGTAAGCATCTTAAGCTTGGTTTCCATAAAATCGATACACGCTATCGCCGACAGCTTTCTGTGATTTTGATTGGTCGATTGAACTGGGGAGCCTTCCTGATAGCGTCGGGGACAGCTACGCAGTACGACGATTGCACTGAAAACACTTTTTTTATGGAAACCAGGAATTAACCACCAAACCAGTTCCAAACAAAACCCCACATTTAAACAAGGCTCTGTCCAGAAACTGCTGTACTGTATGCCCATACTGTTTATCACAGGTGGGCATAGTGCGGCCCCAAAGCGATTTCTTTGCAGCCCGCGAATATGAAATAAAAAACCTATGTGTACTGTGCAGCCCGCCAAGCAACATTGGCTAGAAATCACCTTGTTTTTTATGGCCTGACACCGATCATATGTAAAAAGTAAAATTAAAACTGGGAATAAGTGGTGTAAAAGCAGTGCTTGGAGGTTTTTAGAAGAGCACTGGAAAGATCAAAGTTTGGGTGCGGCCCCTCGGTGTTTAAATCAGAAATTCACTTTGGTCCTCCAACCAATTTTTATGGCCACCCCTGCTGTATATAGTCATGATGTGCCTATAAATGGTCATGATGTGATTTGATCATGACCATATTTAGGCATGTCACATGTTGATAGTTGATTGATAGTTTGGACAGTGCTTTATGGTAAGACATCAAATTAATGTGTTATCATAAATGCCAGCAAATGCATTAAAAAAAAACCAAAAGGCATGATGTTGAGCACATAAATAATTAATAACTGAGACTACATGAAACATGCATCCACATACTACAGCAAGCATGCATCCATATTTGTGAACCCCATTAAGCATAAATCATCTACAGTATCATTCATCATTCCTCATTTTTCTGTACCTTCCTGTGGTGTACCTAGGGGAGGCATACAACTCTCTCCGTCAGAAAAATTCCCCCTTCCCAATGAAAAAATACTGTAGTTTAAAACATTTACATCACTCCCCAGCAAGCACTCCGTCATTGTACCCCCTATTGTGCCTATCTTAATACTCTTGGATATTCTTCCACCCACCTACCTACCCACGCACCTACCCATCCACCCACTGGACTCAAATGCATAATGTTCAGTATCTAATAACAAGTGCCATTAGACAATATGCATTGTTAAATCAAGTACAAAATACACAAAATGCCGTGTGCAGCTAAACATCAATTTTCTACTGGCATTTTATATTCTAATGTAGCAAAACCAAAACTGTATTTTACGCTGCAATTTTCAAAGTCTTAACACATCCACCAGTCATACCCACAGTCTCATCCCCAGTCAGCCAATAGGGCTCAAGATCATTGCAGGCTTTTTGATAATCAACATTTACACAGGTATACAAACACTAGTTGTTGGTGTGAGGTGGGGGGGGGGGAGGCAGCAAGTGTTAGTGGTACAATCTGCTGAATTAGTTAAAAAGTATAATTAAAAAATATATAATTGTTAATTTGTTGAGAATATTAGCTCGAATAACATAGGAATTTTATAAGTAGAACATTTGTTTAATAAAGAGAAGCAGCAGAGGAAAGCAAGTAATCACTACACCTTTGTATTTGTAATTATAAACAAATAATTGACTAATTAGAATTGGATATTATTACAACTCCTATTGGTAAATGTTTGTTTACTACTTTCCAAATGTAATTGATATTTACAGTTCCAAGTTACATCACAAAAGTCACATGACTAAAACTGAACGTTCACATTGACCTACATTACTTTGTACCAGGTGTTTGAGGTTCAGAGGTTGCAGCATCAGGGAAGCGTCTGTAAGGCTGTAAGGAGATGAAGGCATGAAATATAGCAAAAAAACATACAATGGCTTTGCTCAACTATCATGGCTTGTAATTATTATGATGATTTAATCACTTTTTCAATCTTTGTTTCTATCAAGAAGCAGATTATAGGAAACTAGGTTGAACTGGTGCTCTACTGCCTTGGATTTGATTGATTAAATTCTAACCCAACAGGGTGGAACCAATATTGAAAGAAATTCATATCATTGATTTACACAATCAGTTCTATTACAATTGAAAAAGTATGGTATTTACAACTAGATACAAAAAAATCAAGCTATTTGGAGATTGAACCAAGAATGCCTGAATTGAGGACTGAATTTTCACAACTAGGTGACAACTTTACTTGTCTTATTAAACATCATCAAGTAGAAGCTAATATAATTCATCAAACCTTTGCTTTTTTTTAATAATAAAGTAATTTATATTAGCTCACCTTGATTTTATGTACCTCTAGTGAGATGGGCATTAGAACCAACCAAGGCAACAGATTCCCATTTTAGTAGGTTTTTAAAAAACAAATAGAAAATACTGATCCAAACTAAGGGGAAATCTGACAGATGCTCTATGTAAAAACATTCAACTTTGTGGATTTAAAAAAAAATCATCTCTTATTATAAACTTTATCAATTAATGAATTCTCTTATTATAAACTTTATCAATTAATGAATTCAAATAAAATACTAATTAATACTCTTGTTGAACTGATAGCTGAGCAAAGCCAAGGGGGAACTACCATCTGAAAAAAGTGGTTAACAAGTAGGGGGAATGAACATAAAATGCAACAGCAATGGGATGTATAAACAAATTCTTATGATCTAAGCAAATTTATCAATTTATAAGTGGTTTACAAAACAGGGAGGATGAACGCAGAATGTAACAGCAATGGGATGTAAGAATGACTTATTAAACAAATTCTTATCATGTAAGCAAGTTTATCAATTTATTAATTGGAAATGTGTTGTCCTCAGTAGGATATGAATAAAACCCTATCAGATACCCTTTGGTGCTCTACCTTCCAGCATAAAACTCCTCTAAAAAAATTTATTCGCAATGTACTTCTGATTTGCTTATTTTGAGCTTTATACTCAAATTATTTAATATAAAACTTTCCTTGAATTCAATGTTTTAGAGCATGATTCATAATTTTACTCATGATAATAAATAAAGCATGAAAAACAATAGCAAACATAGGAAAATCTTTGAAATGTAAAGCAACACATGTTGTAACTCACATTATACTCGTCACTATCAACATTCTCCACGTACAGGTATTTCTTGCTTTTGTAATAAGTCCCCTTTCTCAGGATGTAAAAAGTGATGATGTCACACATCACAGTTGCCTGGCAACAAAGATTACAAAACTAAAATTGTTTATCTCTTAACAAAAAACATGATTCATAGCAGTTTACAAAAACAAAAATAATGTTTATTTATTCAAATCAAAACATCCAGATGTGACGGAACTACATCCAGAAGACTTATCTCTTGGAGCTCACAGATGACAACATGAAAAGTAACTACTTACAATAGAGAGAAGGGCAAGTCCTGCTCCTAGGTTGGTTGTCAATGGAATGAAGTTGAACTTTCCTGCTGTCCCTGTCACAATTACCTCAAACAAGATACCATATGCCTTTGTTAGAGTTCGATAATCTGTGTCATTTATTACATAAAAATGTCCAAACCTGTAAAATAAAAAACAATAAAAACAATGAAATTTGACAAAAGACAAAAAAAAAAGTTTCAGGGTTTCATCAGTTGAAACCCTGATGAAAAACATCTACTCCATCCTTCTTTTGGTTATTTTGATTGATTGCTATATA